AAAAGAGGGAAGACAAATTGATCCAGAGTGGATACTAAACTATAAGGAAAGTGGTGAAAAATTTGAAGATTTAAGGGAGGGATATAGAGAGTACTGTATAAAGAAAAATATATCAGAGAGCAAAGATAGTCGTCTTTCGCTAGTTAATGCTCAAGAGTGATTAGACAAGAATTATCCAAAAGAAAAAAGGAATGAAGTAGCAGGATTAATTATTAGTCCATGCAATTTACGGTCAAAGGGATTATTGGAAGACAACGAGGAACTAGAAGGATTTTTAGATTGTAGCGACTTTGTCAACTTGGAAGAATTGAGTTGTTGAGGTAATCACCTAACTGGTTTTAATTTAAGTAACAATAGTCAACTGGATAGTCTGGTTTGTTTTTTTAATAGCATACCTTATATTGGTTTTCTTGATAGGTTACCTAATCCCGAAAAACTGACTTATTTAGCACTAGCCAATAACAAAATTGGACCTAGGGATTTGACAATCTTTAGCAGACTTGTCAATCTAAGACACTTGCTTATTGGCTCGTCTAATCTAGATAATTTTAGGGCATTAGGAGAAAAATTTGATGATTTTAGCCAATTATTAAAAAAATCAATTGAAAAAGGGTTTTACAACAGGTTTTATGGATCTCTCAAACCTTTGGAGGGATTAACAAAATTAGAAGTGCTAAACATCTCAGAAACTGACATCAATGATGGACTAGAATATCTGCCTGATAGTTTAGAGGGAATTGTATGTGATTCTTTTAGAAAAGATGCTGGAGTAAATAAAATTATTGAAGTTCTTAAACCTTATAAAGAGGAAAATTATTACAATATTAAAAGATGGAAAAAATCCAACAAGAAGAATTACATTGAAGAATTAAAGCGGCAAAATCTCCAAATTGTCGAGAAAGAAAAGGATTCAGAACTAATGAAGTTATTAATCAAAAAAGAATTAGAAGGAGAGATAGAAAAAATTTCTTTTTTTTCTACTTGGTTTAATGATAATTGTGCAATAGTTATTAATAAGGAAAAGAATTTAATAAAGAAAAATACCTATAATTTATGAATAATCACTTACGAACCGGGTTTTGGAAAAATTAAGGCAAGAATCAACTGCCTGAAAGTTATAAAAGAAATAACACCAATAAAAGAAAAATGAGGAAGAATAATCGAAACTTTTAAAGAATCATTAAATAGTGATCATCCAGCCGCACAATTATATAACAATGAATACAGCAGAAAACTACCCTCTTTAAAACAAAATTATGAAAACATAACAAAGAAGAAAGTAAAATTATTTTTCCAAGAAAATCCCGACGATTACTTAAAGCAATACGACATTGTTAAAAGAAAAATTGACAATATTGGTATTAGCCACCATTATGCTATATATCTGGGCAACAACCAAGTAGCTCACATTTCTGGCTCTAAGGAAGTTATGGGTGAAACTGATGACTTGTATGCCCGTATTGACAGTTGAGAAAAATTTCTAAAAAACACAGATGAAATAGAAATTTATCATCCTTTTATCCCTTTTAAAAAACCCAAGTTAATTCAAGAACACATTAATATAGCTGTCAGCAATGATTATGGTCGAAACCAGTATCATTTACTCAAAAAAAACTGCGAACACTTTGCTAACATGTGTGTTTATGGATTGGGTATGTTATTAAAAAAACAAACCAGACTATCCAGTTGACTATTGTTACTTAAATTAAAACCAGTTAGGTGATTA